CCATCAGCTCCAAGTCAAGTTGTCCTTCAGTCTTAATTGTGGAGGGCACAGGTCAGCTCCAAGTTCAGTCACCACTTTCAATCTTAGTTGAAGGTGGGCTCAGCCCACCATCCAAGGCGGGAGTCCAATTGGCAACCTTGTTGTGAAGAGCACGTGTTCTAACTAACTGAGCCACCCAGCTGGCCCAAGATTGGGATTCTTGATTGTGTTACAATAGATCAGAAGGTTAATTTATGCCGTAAGCCAACTGTCAGATCGGGACCAACTGAAGGCTTTTGGATGGTGGGTGTCTGATTCCTCATCACAGTACTGTCTCTCTGGCATTTCTGAATACTTGATTTCAAATACGTATAATTTGTCGTCCATCTTTAGAGTAGGATTGTTAATCTGAGGTCCTGAGATGGTTCATGGATAAACCATTCACTAAGTCTGTGAACTTGAACGGGAATAAAATCCTATCTTTCTTTTACTTAACCTTTAACTAAAATTTATATTTCTTTCATTTAAGGAGAAATCACAGCAGTATTAGCAGCACCTGTCACTTTGCCATGAGTAGAAATCAGAGATATTTTTACATTATATCTTGGTTGTTGCAGAAACTTTGAAGTGTCATTTACACTCATAATTCTTTGAAATTATGGTAGGTATTAGAGCCACTGCTAGAGCTTGCTATTTGAAGTGTTAATAAAGAAGCACATATATTACCACATCACAAGTTAAAAATGTTTTTTAAATTACTTTTTTATTATATTTAATATTTTAACTGAATTTCAGTATAACTGGTTTCCTTTGCAAGTCTACACATTTTATTTCATGAGTTTTAAAACATTATTCTGAATGGGGGTCTCTAGGTTTCACCACACTGCCAAGGGGTCTGAGGCACAAAAGAGATTAAGAACCCCAACCTTTTGGGGGGGCACTGCAGAAACTTTCTACCTGAAGGATGGCAGTTTTGACCAGATACATCTTTTTTCCCCTTTTTAAAGGATTTTGAGAGGGTGATTGAAATTCACTCTTCAAAATTTGTATTAGCACCCTGCTTTACTGTCTCTTAATACTAGGTGTATAAGAATCCCTTTGGGTTCCAGGAATTTTACTTCTATCCCAAAGGGGCTCAAACTTGGCTGAGTTAAAAGCACCTGCCATAAAAATCTGTTTATTTGAATCATTGCTGGTACACCAATTCCATTTCTGAAGGAAAGTTTACCTTTAGGGCCATAAAATACCTGGCTTTGCATTTTGATGGGGCAGACAAAGGTGTGGACCCCCGCCCTCCTCCCAGCACAGATACCATTATTCCCATGGCAATGACCTCCTTGGAACAAGTGCAGCTTTATGCCTGGAAGCAGGACACAGAGCATTTGTCCATTTCTTGGTCTGGCTGGTGGGCAGAGGAAGGGAAAACCCATCCCACGTGGTCAGTCCTGGGTGTCATCCAAGGGAGACCCCGTACCCTTGGTTTACCCTGAAGCCCTCTGAGACCAGATCAGCCTTGGTCAAGCTCATGGGCCTGGACGTAGCCTCACTGTGGACCTGCCTCTGGGCTGAGGGCCCCTTCCAGCAGACAGTATCAATGGCAGCGGCTTACCTCTCCACAATTCTGAGCTCTCCATCTTGGAGACTTTGGGTAGCCAAAATTACCCTTCTGTGGCTCAGGTAGGGGGCACACCTAACCCCATCTTTTACCTGAAGAAAGAGCTGGGAGATCTGATAGCAAAGAATTGGAAGGTGTGGTCCCGGACTAGAGAGGCTGACAGTCCCTGGGAGTCCCTTGCTGGAGACAGCAAGATATCTCCTCCTCCTCTCCTAGGTGTGGGATTAGGTGTGGGCACATTCTCCACAGTCCTTCTCAAGTGGAGCTATCCAAGTGGGTCCAGCAGGGGACATACTGTCTCCGAGCCACAAGCCAGAGATTCCCCCATCTTTTCCCATGTCCCCTTCCCATCAACCTACTGATGATCTTTCCTCCATCACTGTTCTCGCTCTCCTCTTCTGCCCTGGCACAGCTAATCGCCCCTCCCCCAGACCTACCACAACCTTCCTGGTCCCCTGGTATCATTTTTCCCCCTTCTGATCCATTCTCCCATATCCCTCCTACCCCCTGGCCCCGAGTGATCTGTCTAAAACACAGAACTGGCCCCACTTCAGCTCCCATTTCAAACTGTCTCTGGCTCCTTAATGTCCTTCAGTTCTGTCCTGGCACTCAAGGACCTTTCGGTCTCGTGCCCCACTCCCTGTCCCTTGCACCTGCAGCCCCCGTCCCCACCCCAACGCCTTCCATCAGCCAGGACGCGTCCTGTGTATGGCCTCAGTGCACAGGCCAACCCTCGTGGCTGCCCATCACACTGTGATGGACCTGCCTTGCTGCCTGCCCAGCTACCCCACAGGCCTGGCCTGGCACAGAGCAGGTGCCTGAAATGCTGGCTGAGGAGCAAAGAAACCTCCCTGAAAATGCTGCTGCTATCTATCTGCACAAGGGCTGTGGCTTTCCCAGTGTCACCGAGTTTGGGTTTCTGGAAGCACCACTTTGAGAGGCCTGAGGGTCTTGCGATGGGGGCCACACTATGGAGAGAGTCCCCTTTTCAATTGATCTCCTACTGCTGGGTCTTAGTGCTATGTCCCTTGGGAGAGCCCAGGGTGGTGGCCGTCATCTCCTCTTCCATTCTCCTTTAAATTCATTTTAACCTGGGAACACCTCAGGAAAAGTGCCTGACTGTCCCCCTTAGAGTGGGCGCAGACCCTCTACCATGTTCTCATACTCTGGGCCCTCAGTTTAGCGAAGTGACAGCCGTCAGTGCCTCACCTACTTCCGTGCCCAGGTTCCAGCTTTCAGCAATCAGCTGAAAGTGGCTGACTGTCAGAAGGGAGGGGCAGGAGCGCCTGAAGGATGACACATTCTGTGTTCGAGTTTTAACCCCACCCCTGAGGCTATCCCGGACCCCTCCAAGGGGGCAAACCTACTGAGGAAGCAAGGAAGAAGTTTCCAGCTTGGGTGTGATGTCTGCAGCTCAGCCATCTTGCTGGAGGGGAGGAAATCAGTTCAGAGATTCCAGCTGACTGAGAGGCAGAGGTAGACAAACAACTCTCACAAGCCCCTAGGCCTCTGCCCAGCCTGAACCTCACCCCAGAGCCCACGTCTGCTCCTGTAGGGGTAGGATGGGGGCTTGCACTTGGCTTGGTATAGACCCCAAATCACCAGGGCACAGGGGCAAGAGCTAGAGGGTCTCCAGCGACACAGATGAAGATGCCGGAAGATACAAGCAGCTCTATGGAGCACCGGCCTTGTTCCCTCCCTCTCTGTGGTGGCAGCACGAGTGTTGCTCAGTCCCTTCCCGCTCATTTTGTGAGTCAGGACCCCGCAGCTGGAGCAGCACCTTGGGAGCCCACCGAGGGTGCTAGTGCTCTCAAATGGGGGAGGGGCATGCGCATGCCCAGCTGCAGTCCCAGAGGATCAGCCGTCTGGAGGTCTGAAATGTGCACCACCGATGCAGGCTCTGCGAGGGCACCTGGGCAGGGAGGGGAACCACGGGTCTGTGGCCCCAGGTGGGGAGGCCGACTTTGAATTGGGGGAGGAGGAGGTGAGCTTTGCTCGGCAGGAACAAGATCCTCCTCAGAGGGTGCACTGCATGAGGATGAGGGGCTGGGACCCCCAGCAGACCCCCTCTAAGGCATTACAGCTTGGCTTCTGTCTGCGGAGAAGCAGGGGGTAGGGGTGGAGGTAGGAGGGCCCTCTAGGCCACTTCCAAGTTTGAGTTTAGGTCAAAGTTGGGAAACCAGCCTCTCCCACTGTCCAATCCCCCAGTGGGCTGATGTGCAGGAATCCTGCCCACCACTCCACCGACCTGCGCAGACACCCTTACTGTCTCCTAGTCAGGGTCCCTCTTCTCATTCTGGCATTTAAGGCTCCGGGCTTGGCCTCCCCCATCCTTCACTGTGCACCTGCATCCAGGGACCCCCCCCCCTTTCTCCTACCCTTTGCCACCCTTCATTCTTGCCCCCAAGCCCCTGCTCAGGTCACCTCTCCCCCAGCCCGCCTCTCACAGCGCCACTAAAGCCCCCTCTCCACTCTTCACCCCCTGGGCAGTCTCCCTGAGCCCTGCTCTTGGGCCCAGTGCCTCATTCAGGTACTGCAGGTTGTCTCCACGCAGATGGGGAGCTGGGTGAGGGCGGGCAGGTGCCAGACCTCGGTGGGTTCCACAGGGATCCCGTCTGTGTGGCACCCTCTTCTCGGGGGGCTCTCCCAGAAGGAGCAGTGCAGGAGAAAGGACGACAGGAGAGCTGGGTGCAGTCCCTAAAACAGGCTCTTTAATAACATTTATGTCTTCACTGAAGAGCTTCGCTTTTCCCACCCAGCACCGGGCTGGGGTCCGCCGAACTGACGGACACGCGGGTGGATGCACGGCCGGTCCGAGTGGCTCCAGGGCCTTGGCGACAAGCAGCGCGGGGCTAGTAGAAGGAATACTGGTTTTCTACCGCACGCGTGCGGCCGCGCGATCCCTCTCCTGGCGCGGCCTCGGGGGGCTCGTCTGCACCGCCGGCTGCCTCCAGCAACAGCTCCGCGCTGTTGCTGCGGCTGCGCGCGCTCAGCAGGCTCTCGGCGGCGCCGCGCGGGGCGGCGGGCAGAGACGCGGCCGAGGAGGACGAGGTGGAGGAGGACGAGGCCCCGCCGGCCTCTGAGGGCGAGGCGGGCGGGCAGGAGGCGGCTGCGAGGCTGGAGAAGTAGTGCTGGCCGGCCGGCTCGTTCCAGCAGGCGGGAGGTACGGGTGCGGCGCTGGGCGAGGGCCCCGGGTCTGCAACGGGACACGGCGCATCAGTGTGGAGCCTGGGCCACCTTGTCCCCACTTTCCCCGGCCCGAACTTGTCAGACAAGACCCAGAAGCCCGGAGGAATGGGGTGGCCTGGGATCACAAAGGAAGCAGGACCCGAATTCAGCCCTCTCGGTTCCAGCCCACCTCCCCAGATAACTAATGTCATGCGTATAGTTGGCAGTGCACACACATATGGTGCTCAACCCACAGCGTGCTCGACAACGTCACTCACCCCTCCAACGCTCCCTTCCACAGTTCTGCGCTGAGCCCCACCTGTGTCTAGGGACTGCTCTGGTGCGGCCTCTGCTAGCCCTCTTCTCCCATGCCAGGAATCACTCAGGGCCTGGCCCTGTGGGGCTGCCACTCTCTCCCCAATCCTGATGGCCCCAATTGCTTACAGCTGCCCAAGACCTGGCATTCATTCCACCAGAGCTAGTTATGCTGGGTGGCTGCCTGAGTGACTCCCTTCCCCCACTGCCCACCTGTCTGTCTTCTTGAGCCATCACACAGGCCAGGTGGGAGCATCTTACCAGGTGGGGGGCCCTGGGCACGCACGTAGCTGCGGAGAGTGATGTCTGCAGAGCCCCCTGACTCCAGTGGAATGGGGTGGGTGTGGAAATGGCGCAGCATGTCAAGCACAGATTGGAACCACAGGTGCTGTACGTGGCACTGCCCGTGGCCATTCAGGGACAGGCGAAGGTGCTGTGGGCACAGGTCCGCGTGGTCAGTGTTGGGGTCCTGGACTGGCAAGTGCCTTTGTGGGTCAATGGGAGGACCAAGTCTCATAGAGCCCACATGGGTCTGTGTCAGAGCTGGCCCCCCCAACATGAGTCCCATCTTCAGTGGGGTTTACTCTTGTGGTGGGGTTGGGAATGGGGTTACAACAGAGCCAGGCTGGGACTGAAGGAAGCAGGCATTTGTCCCTACACTGGGAGCACCCACATCATGCCCCTCACATCCCCCGTCTCTAGTCGCCAAAAGCTCTAAAAGGTAGAGATTACAGCCCCCATATTAGAGATGGGGAAACTGAGGCACAGGGGGTGGGGGGGGGTGATTCACCCGCAGTCACAAGGCACAGAACTAGGCCGAGAACTCATGTTTGTGTGATTCTCCCACCCCAGTAGGTTGGGGCCTACCTGCTGTCCTTGCAGAGCCAAAGCCCAGAGGGGTGAACCCCTGAGGCTGGCTGGTGAGGAGTGACTGGATGCACGTCTCAACCGTGCTGTAGGGGGAGCAAGCTGGTGCCTCCCTGGGTCTCCAGGGCCACATGGGGGCGGACAGACACCTCAGGGAGAGGAGCAGCAAATCTGTGGTCTCTAGTGGTGAGCCACAGTTCTCTGGCTTTAGCCCTATTTTGTTCAATATTATCCCACAGGAGGAAGAGTGGCTGTCGCTGGGGTGTGTGGCAAGAGGGGAAGTGATAGGAAGGTTTCAGGGTAAGTACATAGCCTCAAGCCTAGGAAGGGGTGCTGATCTAGCCACCGACATAAAGGACAGAAGCCCTGGGGATGGCGGTAGTTCTGTGAATGAGCTCTGCCACTCAGCAGAGCCAGAAGTTGCCAGAAGAGTGTAAGCAAACCTGGGGAGCATTAATTGCAACCAGAGCAGGGCCTCAACCCATGAGGAACTGCATAGTGGGGTCCCACCACAGCCTTAAATCTGGGCAGGGCCTTTGGGGGACAGAGGCCCAGAGCAGAGCCTGAAGCAAGGCGGGTGCATCGCAGTCTTTAGGAAAACCTTTCAGGTGAAAAGGTGAAAAGAGCTGCCTTGGAGGGCAGAGGTTCTCCTTCCCAGGAGGAGTGCGAGCAGGCGGCTAGGGACCCTGCTGTCCCCCACCACTAACTTATCCCACCCTGGGCAGTCACCCTGCTCTGACAGGGCAAGAGCTGGCATGAGTTCAAGGCTGGGTCTTCCCCAGGGAAGGACAGGAGCCTCCTGCCTGCTTCCACCCCCCCACCCCCGATCCTCTCCCATCCCCACCGTGGGCTGGGCACCATTCTAGCCTCTGGCTCAGGCATAAGTCAGCTCCAAGTCCTTCAGGGAGGCCGCCTGAGGCGGTGCTGGCCAAGAAGTAAACTGGGGCTGCCAGGGATGGCGTTAAGCGCCTGGTTGTCAGAGGAACTGGTAAGGGCAGCTGCTTTCCAAGGAGATGTCCCTGGGGAGGCGCTGACAACACTACCAATGAGAGAGGCCCAGGGTGTCAGGGGAAGGCTTGCCCTGAGCCAGCTGGGGGTTGGGACACTGATTACCAGTGCAGGCCTGGAGCAGGAGTCCTGGGGTGGCCCCTCCTCCGGCAGGGACTTACGGAAACCATGTCCTGGGAGGAGCTGGGGCTGGGGTTGTTTCCTTATCGGAAACTTGGGATGGGGGTGGGGTGGGGAATTGATGTTCCTGCCCACTCTGGGCACACTGTAAGCCCCCACAATCATTTTACTTTTCTGTCATATTTTCCTTTGCACCTTAGGTCATCATTAGCACACAATGCCTTTCCTCAACAGCCCACCATCTGGGCGCTCTGTGGCCTGACTGAATCACTCTTCTCATGTCACTTGAAGGATTCTCCCTCCACTACTCATCTCAGGTCAAGGTCCCCTCCTACTCTGGCCAGCAAGGGGAGGCACCTCTTTTGGCCCTCCAGACCCTGTACAGCCCTCCTGCCTGGCCCAGCTCTTCTCCTGCCCTGTCCTCTAGGGCCCACCTGTGTATGGGTCCTTTCCACGTCCCTTGACCTGAACACAGGCCTGGCCCGGGGCTGGGTCCCAGGAGGGACTCGTCAACTGACTTGTCTGGGGGTGGGTGAGGCAGGAGGTCCTTGACTGATCCCAGCCCTGCACTTAGCTGGCTCTGGATAAAGACCCTTAGAAGCCCCAGTGCTAGGTGATCCCTAATGCACTGGGTCAAAGTTAAGTCCTCAGAAAGGCCTGGCCTCCTGAGTGCTCAGCCATCAGGAGGTGACTTCCCTATTTGGATAACGGAGAAGCCACATCTGGGGTAGCCCCTCAGAGAGGTGTGGGAGGGACCCAGATGGTTCAAAGAGCTTGGCCAGAGGTAGGCCTGGCCCATGGGAAGTCATGCCACATCTACACCCATGGAACCTGCTTCCGGGGTATGGGTGCAGCCCCAGGACCAAGGCTGCTTCAGTCCCCTACCCCAGGGCTTGCTGCTCCACCCATGGCCCCCCTGCACACTTGCCTTGGCCTTGCCCTGGAAGTTGAAGGTCAGGACGTATTCCCCAGGCCGAGTCTCACTCTGCCGGATCACAAAGAGGCCGTGGCTCCGGGGCCCGCCTGCTAGCACCAGCTGAGCTGCCTTGACCCGCGACAGTGTCCCATGGAACCAGGGGTAGTCAGAGAGCTCCAGCTCTGGTGCTGCCTCGGGCTCAGGCTCTGTTCCCTCCTCCCCTGGAAAAGATGACAGTGTGAGGGGTGGGGATGGGGCGGTGGAAATACACAGGGAATAGATACAAACCCCTTGTTGGGTTTTAACATGTAAAATGCTGCTTAGATAATTTTATAACAAGGCAGAGAGCTGACCTCACCCACTAGTTAGGAATATGAGGTCAACTGAGGCACAGAGAGGACTATCCTGGGGTCACTCTCTAAGTCAGCAGCAAACCTGGGGTCAAATCTCCTTGTTCCTAACCCCTGGTTCTGACCCTTTGCACCCCTTCTGGGAGCATTTTCTATTGAAACCAGGGCCTGTGGGAAGGGTCACGTTCCTGGACTGGCTTACAAAAGCCAGAATCCTAAGCTGCTGTGCAGAGGACCCAATGAGATGAAATGTCATAGCTTCTGAGGCTCAGGAAGCTCTTTGGTGGGAGCTGTGGGTGCCCATGGCCTAGGCTGTGGGTGTAGTTAGGAAGGGCTGGGAGAGTGGACTGCCCCCACTACACCTGTGTTATTGCTGTTACCACTGCTGCCTCCTAGGGATTCCAGGGTCTCCAGGAAGGTCTCCAGTGGGACGTGGACCAGGGACTCGCTGACAGCATCTCGAGATCGGCTGTGTGGGGCTGTCACCACGGCTGCCGTTGTCTCTGGGGGCTGGGGCAGGTCTGCTGCTGGAGAGGTGGTGGGTAAGAAGCATGTCTGTCTGTCTGACACTCTCGGAGTGGCCACCCCCTTCATTTCTGCCCTCCATTCTTCCAACCAGCTCTGTCCCCACCTACCCTCCGTGAGGAGCTCACAGCTGCAGGAGGCCACTCGGCTGGCCAGACAGCCTCCCCGGGCGCAGGAGAGCTCTGTGTCTTCCTCACTGTCCCTGTAAGGCAAGAAAGCATAACCGTGTCCTGCCATGGGCCTCGGACCATGGGCTGCTCATAGAACCAGGCAGTGGCTCACCTATGGTCCCTCTGCCTCCATGTCCCCCGTCACACCCGCAGCTTGCTCCGTGGCTACCAAGCGAGTGACTGGGCCATATAAGAGAGATCTCTAGGTGGGTGCAGTCCTCCCTGAGGTCATATGATTCCTGCCCACTAACCCACAAAGGGATGGCCTTCTGGGATCCTACGGAGTCCCTCAAATGGTGGCAGGGCACCGTGGTGGCCAGGGCCTGGGCAGCTCCCTTTACTGACCCTGGCTTTTGTCTCCCCATCTGTGACACAAGGTGTCTGGGATTCTGCCAGATCTAAAATACTGCGAGGTTCACCTTCACAGCGTCTGGGGCAAGATTCTGCAGAGCAGATGGCTGAGAGGGTGGCAGGGGATGGATTATAACCACTTTGGGGATGGTGGGGGGCGGGGAGGCGCTGAGGACTTTAATTGTGCTTCCTTCAATGAAACTGTTAATTAGAAAGCAGCAGCCCCTCCCCCCGGGGCTTGGCTCACCCCATTAGCCAGAAGAGCTGCTGCCAAACGCTCTGCTGCCGGCCTGCCTGCCCCTCCTACTCCTGGCTTTGGGATCTCTCCTGGATGGGGCAGCCAGCCTCCCTGCTGCTTTTCCTGTTCGCAGCTGATAGTAGCTGCCCTTTGCTTATTACCAGCCGTGGCTCCCCACTGCTCCCAACCTACCAGCTTCCCAGGTTCTCCTCAAAGTCCCCTCCTCACTAGCTCTCATTCTAGCTGACGTTCCCTGCAAGTCCCGGGGTCACACATACCTCCACACCTTTTGCTGGGCTGTTCTCTCTGCCTCTCCCCTCCAGCCCCCTCTGCCTGGCTCAGGCCCACTTTTTAAGCTTTGGAGATGGTAAGCAGCTCCACCAGCATGCCTTTTCTGAGCTCCTGGCTGGGTTAGGGGCCTCCCCTCTATCTCCCTGGCCCTTTGAGCTCACCCCATCACTGCCCTTCTTTTAGTGGTCTCAGGCTCCCCTGGGGGAAAAGGAAGACTTGATCCAACTTCCTTCCAGGTTCCCCAACCCTGGCCCTGCAGAGCAGGCCTCAAAGAGCCTGCTGGAGGTAGGGGTGGGGGCGGGGGTATGGACGAATGGCTAGCACCAACCTGGATAGGACCTGCCATTAGAAAGACCCATTTTTGGAGCTCAGCACCAGGTAGTTCCCCATCCTGTCCGCCCATCCTAAGGCCACTTGGGCACTCACCCGGGGTCCACGCAGCCCTGGATGTCAGCCACCCATGAGTGCTTCTGCAGTGAGTCGATGGTCTCCAGGATGTACTCTGCTCCATTCTCCACCTGGGGAGGGGGTGGCCAGGAGTCCAGATAGCAGTCAGTACCCCAACCTCCTCTACTCTCAGCAGAGGGCTGTAGACCCCAGGACAAATGGCTCATCCCACACCTCCCCCATGGGGGGCTCGCTGGTATGAGCAGCAGGGAACACAGCTGGGTCACCATCAAGCACCACCCAAAACACAGGCCAAGGTTCTGGGATGGTGCTGCACCCCACACTCTCAGCAGCCCCTCCCTCCTGGGCCCACCACTGGGGATGATGTCCAGCCCTGCTAACCTCAGGTCCTCAGGCCCTGGACGTGTAGCCTCGGAGGAGGCCATGCTGGCTGGGGAAGGGTGAGCTGGCACCCCGGGGATGGGATGAAAGGGCATCACAAGCCTCCAGTCAGTCAATGGGCCAGCTAGCCCAGCACACTGAGGTGAGGTGCTCACCTGCCTTAGTGCCTGGAACTCTACCTCGAGGGCCACGCCCCTGGTATAAGCATCCTCCATAGGGGAGAGTGGAGGAGAAGGCCCCTGCTGTGGGCAGGCCCAGAGTTCCATCTTGTACACACATTATCTGGAAACCTCTTCCCAGCTGCCTTGGGAGGGAGGCCATATGCTTTCCCCATTGTACAGCTGAGAAGACTGAGGTTCAGAGAGGTCAGGTAAGTTGCTCAAAGTCCCACTAGCACTCAGTGGCAGCACTGGGACCCGAACCCAGGTCTCGGTGATGCCAAGGCCACGTTCTCAGCTTCTTGTAGTATACCTCGGTTACAATGCAGTTGTTGGACTCCCAGCATCTCAGAGCTGGGAGGGTCCTTGGAGACCACCTTCAATACCTCTCTGAACAGGTGGGGAAACAGAGGCTCAGAGTGGGGCTTGCAGGTGAGCCCCTTGGCCTCAGGGCTCCTGAGGATAATCAGCAGCACAGTTGCGTCCCAGCTGATGGGCGTGAGGTTCTAAACCCTTCTCACTCAGCAGATGTGAATGCCAGGCAGGGAAGGGCTGTGTGCTCAGCCCTCAGCCTGGGGTGACTAAGGGCATGGGGTTGGCAAATGTTTGCTAAATGAATAAGAGAGTTCATGACTGAAAAAGTAGGGGCGAATAAAAGCATAAACCCAACAAGGCACCTGGAGAGGAGTAGCGGGGACTCCACGAAGCTTTGGGTGGGTGGAACCAGGCCTCCTTGGGGACTTAGCCTCATGAACACCCTCTAATCCTTTGAGGAGGTACATGGCACAGCCCTGACAGCCTGGAGCCGTGTCCTCAGCAAACTGAGCAGGCCACCCTGGTGACGTGGGACCTGGAAAAGGATGAGCTGCCCCCAGACCCACCAGGGTGCCTCCGCACCCACATTTAGTGCCTTCATGCCCTCTGTGGGACTGTGTGGGTTCCACAAATACTCTAGCACTCTGTGACAGGCGTATTTGCATAACTGCTACCAGTTTGCCTGTCCGCCCATGGGGTGAGTACATGCTGGCTCCAGTGGGGGGAGAGGGGAGGAAGTGAAACTCAGGGGAGCTTCACTTAGGCCCAGGAGGAAATGGAACTGGGGGCCCTAGGTGGTGGGTGACCCTGGGACACTCAGCTCTAGAGCCCAGGCCTGGACTCAAGTCTTAGCTAGAAGCTCAATGTACGTGTAGGGTCCTGGGATCCCCAACTAGGACTCCCTCCCCCAGCCCTGTTGCTGGCCCCTTTACCCTCACTCCTCTTATGGCGGCCTCAGCTGTGCTGCCCGTGAGAGAGGTGGCCTGAGGCAGCCAGGGGGTATGTGGGACGGGTGAGGCTCACCTTGAGCACAAACGTGTTGTCCTTCTCCGGCATCTCCAGGGGCATGGTGGTGCGGACCTCGATGATGGCAGAGAGAGGGATGCTGACCTTGGGCCTGGAGGCCTGGGAGGCCAGAAGAAGGGGCAGTGAGTCACCACAGGGCCCCCTGAAACCCTCTCTCCCCTCTCCCCTTCCCAGAGATCAGAGCAGCCTTCAGATGAGGATGCCCTGGCAGAGGGGTTCCGATCCCCGTTCCACAGACAGGCAAGTTGAGGGCGTCTGGGCAACAAAGGGACCTCCCCGTATAGTCACAAAGCAAGTCAGGGACAGAGCTGGGGCTGACATCGGAGTCTCCCACCTGAGCCTTCCAGGGTGAATTGTCTGGGTTGCCCTTCTGCCCAGTGCACCCACCAGATCTATTGTTTTCACATTTTTTACCTTGACCCATAATAAGAAATACATGTGACATTGCGATCCAATACACATACAGGTAAAAATATCTCTGAAACGAATGTACCAGATAATATTTATCCTGTGTATGATGGAGTGTGATATTTTCTATTTTAGTCTAGTTCATTGAAAAAAAAAAAGCTGGTCTCCGCCTTCAGACTAGACTTTCCAGAGCATGGCTCTGGAGCCCCTGACTCAGATGGGTTCCTGGAGCTGGGCAGGGCTGTTTCCGGGTAGAAGAAAAGGGACAGTGTGGGGTTCAACCAAGGTGAGCTGGCAGGACTCCCAGGGAGGGCCACTCTGTGCCAGGACCTCCCCACTCTTCCCCAAGAGCTCCTGGCCATGACCTGAAGGCCCCCTGGGGCTGACTTGAGACGGATTCCTGGTAGGGCTTGGGCTCCGGGACAGGGACTTTCTCAGGAGGAAAGGGAAGGGCCACACATTGGGTGGGCAGGTGAACGGGAATTCCTGGCGGCACTGGCTGCCATCCAGCGGGTGCAGGGCTGTGCTTGGAGCCGTCACAAAGATGCTCGGTTAACCACGGCAGCCCATCTCACCAGCCACTGGGGTGGGGAGGTGGGGGGGTCCGGAGTGGGTGGAGCAGACAGAGGTCTGTAGTGAAGGCCTGGGCTGGTGACTTCAGCTGGGCTCCTGCTGGCTGGAGGTGCGGATCTCTCTGCCTGGCATTTGAGGCCTGTCTTTCTTGGCCCAGCTGCGTTTCCCCCTGCTATAGCCACACCTCACTCTTCCCACTTCCCTGGACAGACCTGTTAGGCTGTTTCCTGATTCCAGGCCTTCGCTCACTCAACTTGTGCCTCCAGAAATGCCTGTCCTGGGACCCTGCTGCCTGGTGAACACTTATGCAGCCTGAGCTTCCCCTCCTTGGGGCCCCCCAGAGCTCACCCCATTCAGGTTTACCATCCTGTCCTGCAAATACTGGTTTCCTGATGGCTCCCCCAGTCGCAGGGGCACAGCCTCATTGTTCCCTGGGTCCCTAGGGCTGGCCTGGCACAGGGCTCTGGGGGGACAGGAGGTCAAAGACTTGACTCATGGGGTTGTGTGAGAGGTAACTCTGAAGATCCCAGGAAATAGACCCTGGGCCTGCAGACCCCATGCTTCCTGTCTGCTCAAGAGGTGCAGCCAGATCTCCAGGACTAAAAGGCAGTGGGGCGTATTAGCAGGGACTCCCTGGGACCCAGTACATTTAGGAAACTGGACCTGAGCTCTTACCGTGATATGACCCATCTTCCCACAGGCTCCCTCTTGAATTCCCAAACATTTGCATGAAAAAAGGCCAGGTCAGGGGGTAGGAACCCACCTGCCTTCCTCAGAGGTTGAGGAAGTGATCCCTCAGGAGCGCTGCCCTTTGTCAGTGGTGAACGGTGGGCTGGGAGGGATGAGGAAGGCACCAGCTGCTGTATCCCCTCTCCCAGGGCAGCCGCCCCGCTATTTACAGCCAGGCAGCTGTGACTGCCACTCAGGGCCTGGAGGCCTTGAAACTCCCGGGCCTGTGCCCTTTAGATGACCCTGAGCAAGCCCCACCTCACTTCCCACCCCTCACTGGGCCTGGTCTCCTTGTCTGACAAGGGGTGGAATTGGGTTTAACGGTCTGTGATTTCTCCCTGGGAACTAATGGTGGCGGCCTGAGCAGACAACGGGCCTTGGGAAGTCACCTCTCATGCGGCTCATGGCACCCAGCTCTGGGGAGCACACACCCTGCCCTTCCAATGGAACCCAGAGTTCTGACATCCTGGGAGATGGGGACAGAGGCGAGGGACTCCAAGTTGACTAAAGGCACTGAGGGTAGCGTGAGCCCAGAAGTGGGTGGCGTCCCTGGGTAGTTCTTGGGGGACGCTGCCAGCTGCTGTACCAGCACAACCTCCTACTTTTCTGAACTTCCCAGTGCACAAGGAGCTCCTACCTCCATGCTCCTTTCATACCTAGGACCACCAGGGTGGTGGGTATAATTAGCCCAGCTCTGCCGCCCACAAGCTGTGTGACTTTGGGCAGGCCACAACCCCTCTCTGATTATTCGTTTCTCTTCTGTGACCTGGACACCATGAGGCCCACCTTGTTAGGATACTGGGAGGATGAGACTACCCGCCAGGCTTAGGGCTGGACACACAGCGGGCTCTCAGAAGGCAGGCACTATTGTTACAGTTATTCCCACTTTCCAAACAAGGCAGCTTTGCTACTCTGCAGGAGACCCAAAGATGCCCCCAGGGCTCTGATGTTGAGCCCCCAGTAGGGGGAGGGGACAGTGCACTCAAGTGAGCAGCAACGCTGATGACAGCTTGGTTAGCATCTAAAACCCAGGCCAGAAAAGGGCCACCTGGGCAGGGGCCGGGCTAGAGCCTGGCAGGAAGCTGGGGATTCAGATTCCCACCTCTCTGGGAGCCCTCTCACCGTGTGCCATCGTCACTCCCTGCCCTCATCACCGCAGGCCTCTTCTCTGGGAGGCTCTAGTCACCCAGGGGCCTCAGGTGAGGGAGAGAGGAGAGCAGGCAGCCAGATACTCCAGCACCTGGAAGAACAGTGCCCCAGAACCTGTCTGGTATCCAGTCCTTCCGACACCTCACAGGTGGAGAGAGGGCTTGACGTGTGACTTGCCAGACAGCCAGATTGGGCCCACATCCCAGGCTCCTCCCAGGCTCCTGACACGCAGTACTACGTCCTGCCAACCAGACCAGGCCTCAAAAAAACGTGGTCCTCAAGCCAGTCCTTGGCACCCTCAGCTGTGCTCACGCCCCTCTGCTGTCCCTCAGGTTGGGGGGTTGGCGCTCACCTTGGGTGGCACGAAAAACTCGAGGCGGAACCGCTCGCCCGCCACTGCCCGGCGCAGGAGCAAGCGGCACTTCTGCCACTGGGCGGTGCCGCCCGGGCCCGCGGCAGCATCGTCGGCCACCATGAAGCGCAGCGCGCCCTCCCGCTGGATGTCCACCAGCTCCACCTTGGCCGCCAGCGTCCGCGACAGCCGCAGGAGCCGTGTCCACTTGTCGCGAGGCTCGGCCGGGACCTCGGCAGCCCGCGGGGTGGCGTCAGGCTCGGGAGAGGCGCGCCGGTGCCACATGTCACGCACGCCGTCCACCACACACAGGCTCATGTTGCGCAGTGAGAAACCCTTGCGGACGCGGGCCTTGGCCGCCGTGTGCGCTGACACGTCCTCAGAGCTCCGCGAGTGGCCGCACGACGCTGCCACCTTGAGTGCCGCTGGCTCAGGTTCCATGATGTCAGGGTGCTGGGCGGCCCCAGCCACCAGCACGCGGCGCACTTCCTCGCTGAAGATGTCCAGGAAATTGGCGGCGAAATGGCGGGAGAAAGAGGCCCCAGCGTCTGGCGTGTCGTAGGCCGGGTTGTCGCGTAGGAAGCGGCAGAATTTGTGTGCGAAGTCCACGGCGGCCGCCTGGGCGTGCAGCTCGCAGAACTGCCGCCAGTCCGGGACCGGGGCGGCAGCGGCGGGGCCAGAGGCAGCACCATTCATGGTTCCCGTCCCATCGCAGCCCCCTGCAGCTGTGGGTGAGAAGAGCTGGGGTAACTGTGTGACCTCTGACCAGAGAGTCCACCTGTCCCTTCTCCGAACTTCCTCCCCCAGGGCTCCCGGGGGGTGGGGGTGTGAGTGTGTGTAGGGGGGAAAGGAGTCCTACAACATGCAGCAGTTCTGAGCAGCACCCATGTGTGAAGAGAAGGACCACCAAGGAAGCAGGAAGGTGTTCTCTGCAAGAGGGGGGCCCCCCACTTTCTCTCTTCCAATAGCAGTCTCAGGGAACCCCAAGTTCATTCTTGGGACTGCCAAAGGAGGCTGGGATGTCAGGTGCTTGAAATAGGGTTCCCAAGAGCCTCCAGTGACCTCACTTCCCTAAGTAACCTCTTCTGAGGGCCCTAAAGCCCCATGGACAGGAGGAAGTCATGTGCAATCCTCTGGGCTCTACTTGTGAAATGTGCCAAGAACCCAACCCCTCCTCCACTCCTTGCTGTCCAGATTGCTGTCCTGTCCAGGGACCCACATAACCTCTTCTCTTGTAGGCAGTGATTTAGCAGCTTCTTCACTGGTCCTCTGGAAACTGACCTCACTCCAATATCATCTGCTCTCCACCCAGAAACCTAGTCATCATTTCTAAAACAAGCCATGGGCCAGCCGAGTGGCGCATTGGTTGGGAGTTGGCTTGGGACGCCAGCTCTGAGCAGCAGGGCCCCGGTTGGGATCCCACATGAGGGCCAGTGATGCTGCGCCCTCTACAGCTGAGGTGGTGAACGGCAGCTCAACTTGGAGCTGGGTTACCGTGAGGCATGGGCTGCTGGGAGCTGCTGACTGGTGGCCAGCGACCAATCTGCCTCACCCGGGAAGAGTGCAATGATAATATGATAATACCAACATGGGTCAGTGAAGTGATGTCCTCCACGGCTGGACTGAGGAGCAGAAGGACAGCAACTTGTCTGTTCTCCTCCCCCAATTCCCCAATAAACTCTTTAAAAAAATACACAAGACAGATCAGGTCCCTCCTCTGCTCAAAATCCTGCAATGACTCTCATTCTACTTAGTTAAAACCAAGTCCTACTCCTGGTCCCAAAGGCCTCCCACGATTGGCCTCTCTTTACCTCTCTGAGCTTGTCTCCGGCCCCTCTTCCTTGCCCGCTCTGCTCTGGCCACACCTGCCTCCTTGCAATTGTGAAAGCCAGTCATATTCCCACCTCAGGACCTTTGTACTTGTGATGCTCTCTTGCTCTTGCCTGGAATGTTCTTTCCTCTACACCTCCCCCGGTTTCTGCTCCAATACTTTTGTCTGACAGCTTTCTCTGACCACCACTCTACTGAGAATAAGAAATGCTCCTGCTCCACCAGTGCTGGCATCTCCTGCCCTCTGCATGCTCACTCTCCTCCATAATTCTTACCCCATCTGACAAACAAGTACCATGTATTCACTTGCTTGGTTGTGTCCTGTCCCCTCCCCTCCGCCACACCCTCCCCCTGAGAATGCCTGCTCCATAAGGCAGGTATTTTAACAATCTTATAAGTGGCTGTGTCCTCAGTGCTGGGCACATGGCAGGTGCCCTGTAAACACTGAATGAATGACTAAATGAATGAACAAATGAGTGTGTCTGGCATAATGAGCATGTCACAGTTGTCACTACCTAATCCCTTACATGGGCCCTAGGGACACACAGCTTGTGAGGGGCTTGGAATTTTCACCTGACTCCAGGACTTGGGGGTCGCCTAGTGTGGATCAAGTATGACTAACTTTTCATCCTGACATTGAAGGTGCTACCTCCTCAGACCTCTTTCCAATTACAGTGGCCTGTGCTTGTGTTCCCGCCTACTGGAATCCAGTTCCCGCCAGAGTGCCCATTCAAAACCCACCTTTTTGAAGAGGCCCCAACCCAGGAATGTCAGCTGTCTCCTCACCCCAGCCTCCTTCTCCTTATTCCCAGGTACCCGTCTCTCAGAACTCTGAATCGCCAAACTACCTGGTGTGTGTCCAGTCATTTGAGGGCCTTGCCTCCTTGTCCCCCAATGTGGCCATCACCCCTAGGAGCACAGGCTCAGCCAACCGTTTATGTACCCTCCCCTGAGTAGGGTGAAATTACCGGTGGTGAGAGAGAGGGGTGATGTGGTCCTGCCCTGCCTTAGGGAACCCATCTGAGGGGGCCAGCCCAATGTTAGGGGAACTGAGGCAGAGGGTCATGCCCTCAGCTGCCCTCCCAGCTCCTGGGAGCGCCCTCCCAGCTCCTGGGAGCACCATCTCATCTCTTCTCTGGGATCCAAACTCTGTAATTAAACACCTGGTAAAAATAGCTGCCCCACTTCTATGAGATCATACGTGGGGTCTCTGGGCCATAGGGCACTGTGGGAATTCCCGCTCACCTTGGGGTAACCTCGGCCATCTATCTGCAGTCAGTAACCACAGGACAGCCCTAGGGAGGAAATGGACCACTTGGTGAGCCACTTAGCAGAGGATGGTTTTCCAAACCAGCAGGTCTCCTTAGACTCCACCTAGTATTTTGGGGAGAGCACAGCAGGGAACTAGGAAGGTTTCCTGGAGGGGGCAGGGCCTGCACAGGCTTCATGCCAAGAAGAGGATAGACTGCCTTCCCTGCAGGCCTGAGCGATACCTTGGAGGCTGACTTTTCAGGACATGGGGGAGGAGAGGTTGGGTAGAATGGGGGCTGGGGCACCCAAGAGCTTGGCTATTGCTGGGCCTTTTTCTTGCTCTGCTTATCTTCCTTTCTTCATCTGGCTAACTCCTACTCATCCTTCAACAGTTAATCCAGTGGCCACTTTCTCCAGGAAGCCTTCCCTGATACCCCTGCCAAGTGGCAGGAGTGTCTCTTTTGAGCTCTCACAGTCCCCTCCTATACATCACTCTAACAAGATGCCAACTGCAGGTGCTCCAGGTGTTTGTTTCCATGTCTGTCTCCCCAGTCTGGCACTGGCACTCCTCAGGGGCAGAAGACAGGCCCGAGTTATTTGTCAGGAATGGAGGTGGAGAGCTGAGTCCCTGTGGAGGGAGACATTTTGGAGGGTGGGAGTGGGGAGGAAGCCCTGCAGCTAAGCCCATGAGGACCTGTTCCCATGCTCTAAGCCCACCCATTTACTCAGCAGGACAGTGCTCCCCACAGTGGCCACCTACCCCTCTGTACCACTGAGACCACCAGGAGGGTAAGACTGGGTGACATGGCAGCCTGGGAGCCAGTACCAAGTACGGACATCCATTTGACATAATTATGGTCCCATTTGGGGCAGGAAGGAAGTCAGTCCTAGTGCCCCAACCTCTGGCATCCCCTGTCCCTCCCCACTCTTCCTGCTGGCTGACAATACTCCTGGCAAGGGGCAGGGGCAGAGTGCAGGGACAGGGCCCGGGGAAGGACTCTCATAGGTGGGCCTCAGCTAGCCCTCATTGGAGGAAGGGGTGGCACTCAGAAAGGAATTTGCCAAGGGTATGGTGGCTGTGGATGTGGCCTGGGCAGGGATTGGCCTGGGAGGTTGGTCCTGGCCTTGGCTTCCTCCACCCACTTGTGCTGGCTGGCCAGGAGCCTATAGGTCTGATGCCCAGCACAGGAGCCCCCAGTGTCCCCTGGGCCCAGCTGGGGCTACACAGAAGTGGCAGGAGTTGAGCAGCCAGAGGTAAAAGTCACAAGTCGCACGGTCAACAGGGAGCCCCAAACCTAGTTGGAGACAGAGGCCCAGACATGGCTCTCTGCAAAGGGTGGGGGCTGCGAGTCACATGGAAGGGGCTCAGCCCCAGCAGGAGCAAGGGTGTGCTGTGGGCCAGAACTGGGGGTGAGACCAAGTGCAGGGACCTTTGCTGACCTGGGCTCAAAGCCTGACCCCACTGCTCTCGGGGTGAGTGATGGTGACAACTCCAACCTGAGCCTCAGTTTCTTCACTTTAAGAATGGAGACAAGCTCCCTCCCTCCATCTCCCAGGACAGCACAGGAGGCCGTTTTTGCAATGTTATAACTCATAGGCAGCCATGAGGAGGGCAGGCACTCCCCTAACCTCTGGGTGGAGCCAGGAGGTGGTTCCAGTCCTCTTCAGGGAACAGCCAGTGTGTAACAACCAATCAATTAGACAGAGCCCTCTGCCACTCTGCAGGGGACCACAGACCCAGATGTGGAAAAAGCAAGGCCCAGAGGTGGGGGTGGGGGGAAAAGGAACCCAGAGGAACCAGAAGCTGCATGGACAAGCTCACCTACCACTGCAGGGCTGGCTAGCAGGTTTATGAATTGAATCCAGCTGGCCTGAGTTCTCCCTCCTTCATGGCTCCTTGGGATTCCCACCTGTCTTGCCAGTGTCACTCTCCTGCAGGAACTGCCTTCCTCACTCCACTGACTATTCAAACTCTACTCAGCCCGTTGGAAGGCAGCGTTAAGACTCTTCCTCCAGGAAGCCTTCCCACCACACTGGCCCTCTTCCTCCCTGAGCTCCAATGGTCCCTATGGTCCTCCTGCTTCTGTGGGAAGGGGCCTATGTTCCCAGAGAACCAGAAGAACGGGACAGTGCAGGATGGGACAAGGGGATACCTGGGCTGTCTCAGGCCAGGCCTTGTATCTCCCCAGGCACTCCCCCCCGCGCCCCCCAATCAATAAAATGAGATGCTAGAGCAGGGCCCTCTAGGGGCTCCTGACTGTAATGGCCTTGGACACTGAAGACTGAGGGCCTCCCCGTCCCCAATGGGAGCTGGGGCAGTCAGGGGTCGCCTTTCACCTTCACAGGCTTCTCTGAAGATTGGGACTGGACACAAAGGGAGCCCACAGGGTCTAGGAATCAGGTGCTGGCTCCCCAGGGGCCCTGGGCGGGCAGATCACTCTCCTTCAATCATCACTTAGGGGTTTTCCAGACTCAGCTGGGCTGTCTGGCTTCTCCCGGAAAAATGTTTTTTGTTCCCATCTCCCCAGGGCCGGGATGGGATGGGATGGGATGGGGTTTCAGGGAGGCGGGGCAGGAATCCCCTCCCTGTCTGTCGTCTTTCTAAGCCATGGACTCTCCTAACCCCTCCGCCAGGAACCCATAC